TACTGAACTAATTGCAGTCTTCCTAGTATCCCAGGCCCTTTCAATGCTGGTTTCCTTCTGTTTTTTTTTTTTTTCCTTTAATGTCTGGAGAGCAAACACTCATTTTTAAAAAAGGTTACCTCCTTTAAGAAGCCTTCCAGGATCACCTTTAGCAGGAACTGATCATTGAGTCTCCCCTCTTGCCTACTTACCTATGTCCTGCATATGCACCTAACATCACATGCCGCTTCATATTTCATCAGGTCTATAATGCACATTTTTTCACATCTTAAAAATCCATGAAATTTGGGTGTACCTTAGAATCAGTGGTGTGTCATCTTTTAATTAACAGGGTTTTTTAAATGTCTTGGTACCAAAGCCCAAAACGTGCATCTAAGGCAGGACAGCATTGGTGAAATGCAGCTTAATTTTCTAAGGTGAGTGTAGCAGTGCTCCTGATCTGGAGGTGATTTTGGCCTCCTGACCTATCCTCACTCTCGTTTGGCAGAGTCTGGAGACATTTTGGTTTTATCAACTTTGGGTGGGGGTGCATTGCTGGGCAGAGGTCAGGGATACTGCTAAATATGCTACATTACAGAGGAAAGTCCCAGCAAAAATTACCCATCCCCAAATGAGACTGAGAAACCCTGGTACAGAGAAATAATATTTATTTGGTATGTAGTATGCTTTATTGTGTGTGATCTGAAACAAATTTTTTACAACTTATAGTGCAACTTAATATATAGTAATTTTCTTTTTCCAAATCTTGGCTTGTAGAGCAAGAATAGCAACTCTGGAGGAGTGCTCCAAGCCAACCTCAAAACCCCTCCCCTACTTCCTTTCTAAATTCCCAAGGGAATGAGTACAGCCATGCTCCTAGACAAAACTTGAAAGCCAGGGGGCCCCAAGAGATTTGTGACCTTAAACCAATTAGGTTAGTTAATGACAAGGCCAGGACTGGAACCCAGGCCCCGGGTTCCCACCATCCCTCTCAGCTCTGTCCCCTGGCTAACTCAGCACCTGAAGAGGAAACTGTGTCCTACAAATAAGAGCTGGGTGACTTAGCAGGAGTTCCTGTTGGTATTCACGCTTCAACACCTGGAACCCACCCGGCTCTCATCCACTTTATGAGAATTTAGGTTGACTCTGTAAGGCCCCTGAGCTCTGTGGGGAATTGGATTGATGCAAAAATAATTGTGATTCATGAGTGTGAAGGAACTTTAAATGTAGATGATTTCATCATATAGAAAGCAGAGGGGACTTAAGTGTATTTAAGCCTCTGAAGGAAGGGTTATTAGTTGAGAAGGGGGGGGGGCTGTCCTCCACCCCTAGAAGCTGCACTTGTGGAAAGGGCCTGAGGCTACAGCAGGAAGCTGATTTATGTGACAGGAAGGAGCTCAGGAGGATGGTTTCTGCAAGGCCACCCCTGTATCCCGGTCTGCAGTCAGGCGGACCCCAGGTGGATCCTGCCCCAGCAGCCCAGTCCCCAAACTGTCACCTCTCTCCTCCAGGCTGCTCCCCGGGGAATGAACCACAGTGGCAACTGGGCTTATAGCCCGCGATCTCTCCAGGAGACCCTCCCGGCTGTGCAGCCCAGCCCTGCGCGCCAGAGGGGACTGCGGGGACCCCTACTCACCTTCAGGTGGATAGGGAAGGACCGCTCTTGCTGGAGAGGTCCCAGCAGCGTCTGTTCTACGCTGACCAGCTCGGAGGTCGAGTCCACCACGCGAGCCAGCGCGCTGCGCATCGCCATCCGGGCCAAGGTGCAGGGCCCGCGATCCCGAGGGAAGGGCAGCAGCTCCGCGCCCCCCTCAGCGCCTCGCAGCCCCTCAACCTCGGGGGAGCTCGCCCGTGCCCGGGCCCCTCGGATCCTGGCAGCCCCTGCCCCCTCCTCACGCCCCGGCCCCGGCCTGGCTCTCACTGGGCCTGAGCGACGGGTTGGGGCTGTGGGCACGTGGTCCGGGTCACACGGCCCCCCGGGGGCACCTGGACCATCCCCCCAGCCCCACTCCTGCTGTAGCAGCTGCAGAGTCTGCAAAGCCACCATTTGGTGGCTGATGGAGGCCACTAAGGGCGCAGGGCTGGCCATAGCCTCCGTTGGCTGCTCCGCGTGCAGGTGGAGCAGAAGCGAGGGAGGCGGGGGCGTTTGGGGTCGCCAGGGTCACATTGCCTAAACCGCGGCTCCTGGGCCTCTGCGTCTCAGCGTGTGTGGTCAGCCGCGCCCCCGCGCTGGCAGCTGGTGACCCGCTCTGGCCCCTGCATTCGCTTCAAATCCAAATGGGCTTGTTCTGACCCAAGGCTGCCTGGAGCGCTGCTCGGTGTGCACTTGAATATCAGCCAAATGCTGAGCGCTGCTTCTCCCTCCTCTCCAGGGCTTTGATGGGAAAACGTGCTGCTTTGTGCTGGTGCATCTATCAGCAGAGATACCCCGCCCCCTTCTCCTTTGAAGGATGCCTGCCAAATGACCACTTATGCCCGGGCTGGGGGTGCAAAAGACCCACCCAGTTTGCCAAAACGTGAAAAGACCCAGCAAAAGGAAGACTGTGCCTGGTTCTGCCCCGCCCCCTTCCAACCCTAGCGGCGTTTTCAGGAACTTCTTGCGATATCCTTCGAAGCCCCTCGTACTCCCAAACAGAAGATGGACTTTTGTATCCCAAAGTCCTGCCCTGTCCCTAGTTTTGCTCCCTGTCCATGGGCACCGACAGTCTGGCGGCTGAAGCGGCATTCTGGCGCACAGGTGCATCCTGCTCCTAAATCCCAGGTACTCCTCATCTGGGTACTGCCCAGATGAGGAGTCTCAATGGTTTTGTGTCAGATTCCCAAAGGACTCAGGCAGCAAGGTTGAAGCTAAATCCTTTTATGAGCCGTGAACCCAGGGACAGCTGTACAAATAGTTACTGTTTTTAATTAAACCAAATGTGGCTACTTTCTTAATTTAGGGAAAAGGACTGGCAATTTTATGCTTTGACAGATTATTAGAAGACACCAGTGTATGATTGCACTTAGGAAAAAGAAGACATTTAAGGGAAATAGAAGGGAGAATTGTCCCAGAGCAGCAGAATTTCTGCTTTCTTCCCTCAAGGAAAATCATGGCCCAGCAAAGCAGGGGCAACAAGAAGGACCAGAGATTGGGATTTCATTCTTCCCTGACAAGGGAGAGTCCTGCTGGGTCAACAACTCTGAATGGAAAAGCCACCCCACTGGGTCTATTAGTGCAGAAGGGTAATCCCAATAGGTATGGGGTTGAGGCCAGGCGGGGTTCTTTAAGGTTTCTTTAACTCTGAATTAGTATGACCCCATATAATCCTCCCCACCCTCCAGCAAAGGTTCCTTCTCATTCTCAATGTTTTCTTCGCCTATGAAAACAAATCCGAATGCCAAGGTAAAGAAAACCTTTCTTAAGCAAAAACGACTATGTTCACACTAATTATAACTTAAGTAGAAATGCATGTCTGTGCATTGACAGAAAGAAAATTACTTTGGAGGGAAGTAAATAGTTTAATGTTGATTAGATTCTCTTGCCATGAAGTTACTTAAGTTCAGAATTTAAAAAATACAGAAACTCTTCCTTATTTATTTACTTATTTTTTAGTCCTCAAATGTCGAAGTACATTAGGTTCATCGGAGACTAACTGGGAATAGCACAAACTAACCCCTAATTTTCACAGAGCATCTCAGATCTCCAGGGGTGCTCCTCTTTCCCAACACACAGGAAATCCAGTTTCTTGGGCTAACCCTCCTACTATCAAATGGCTGACTGCAAAACTTTCTTGACAGAGGAATTCTAGCCAACAGCCAAATTGAAATCACTCGACAGAGCCTGACCTGAGATCCTACTCTTCTACACATCATGCTGATTCTGAGAGTCAAGACCAACTGAACTTCAGGAAGTATGAGAGATGGAGGCTAGAAATCTATGGGCTTTAGGGGTGGCATATGTTGTTTAAATAGCAGCCTGGTTGTTCCAGTGTCCTTAGGAAGCACTGGATCATCTAGCAATTCAATACTTTGTCTATCTTGGCCATGGGTCATATTCTCCTTTGCTATGATCTCAAAATGGCTTATGGCCCAAACCTAGAAATGTGAGATCCTAACTGAAAAAAGGATTTCATAGGCTGTTGAGATGAGTCAATAGCATAGCAAATCTGACTTTAGTCTAAAACACCTTCAAAGTTACATATGCTGGGCTATCAGACCAAGAAATAAATTATACTCTCCCTACCCACTGTGCTCACAATTTGCAGTCAAAGCTCATTCAAAAGACAAAATATGAGGCACATGATGGTTTTGCTTCACAGCATCTCTATTGCTTCTTTATGGAACTCACATCCTCATTTCCCAGGGATGTTCCTCCTCCTCTGAGTTCCATCCATGAGGTCAGATGGGATGAACCCATCCCACTGCCTGTGAATGAGCCCACAATGGAGAGAGAAAAATCAATAGATCTGTAAGGAGAGACCAGTCTCTGTATAGCACCATTTGAGTCCCATATTTAACTGCACAAGACAACTCCACCTCTGAGCTGTTCAGATACAGAAGCCAATAAAATCTCTTTCAGCTTGAGCCAACTTTGGGTTGGATTTACTGCCTTTTACACCTGACACCAATGTAAAGACAGATTATAAGAAAAAGAACATGTGACAAGACACCACAAGGCTGTGCCCTTCAAGCAAAGCACTGCTAACTGCTCCCTCTAACCAACGGCTTCTAGAAACACTTCTGCCATTCACCTGACCCTTTCTACTATTTCAAGAGTTGCAGGAAAAGCTCTTTGAACCACTCTGGGCATTCCCCCCAGTTGATGGGAACATTATAAAACGAGTACTGGAAAACTTTGGACTCCCCCCATGCAATAGGGGATGGAAAAGAGAAAGGGGTAGAACACTCAGGAAAGTGGAAAACGATTGTCCATCTGCTAACGGACAAGTTAGTGTGTTGTTAGATACACAAGTATTCTGAAGCTTGTCTTAGTCCAAAAGTTCTTTTCTTTCATGAGCAAAAGATACAAGTTATTGTGGCAAAGCTGGGCATGGTGAGAATAGGAGAGAGCTGGCACAAGGTATAATGTGTGGAGCCTTCCTCAAAGGACTTGGCAGAGCCCAGAAACATTTGAGCCCTGCTTATATTCCTTGGCACTTCTCTCCAAAAGGGATCCAAGAAAATTCCAGAAAGGGAGCTGTTAACCTTCAACACACCCTGTGAAGTTCATAGGTGGGGGCAAAATAAAATATGTCCAAAGACACCAGAGAGTTATTATCCTTGAATAAAAATTATGATTGAGGAGAAACAGATGCTGAAAAGATATACCAAGATACGAAAATGTACTGTAAAAGAGAAAACAATCGAACAAGAAAAAGGTGTAGACCCAAAGGGTGGAGGTGGGGGGGGCACAAAAGATTAAATTCCCTTTTTCAAACATACAATTGTAATGTTTGAATATGCCAAGTCATAAAAATGCACATGAAGTTCTAACTTTGGACTAAACAGTTGATTTTCAGAAGAAAAAAATATGCAATTTTGCCATGAAACTTCTGGATTGCCAAAAACAATTGTTTACTTAAGACAATGTGTTTTTGGGACATCGTATATGTGCTGCCTTTCCAGGTCCCATTAAGTTGGTGAAGCTAAGTGAAGCTGGTGAAGAAAAACAGGGAACATGGGGTAAAGAGGGAAACAAGAAATTAAAAATGTGGAGTCCCACCTGCCAGTCTGGACAGAATCTGACGTGCATTTGCCCATAACCCTATCATTCATCTCCTTTGCACAAAATGCAGCTCTTTCTGGGCATGTAAATCTTTTTACTTGGTTCCACTTTAATAATTTATTTCCAAGAAGAACTCTTGAAGTTGGAAAATAAATGAGTTTTAAAGGAGTACATATACAGTACATCTAATTTTGTTCTAATTATTGCAGCTTTGGCAAATGATTTTTCTTTTTAAGAGTAAGAGAATGGCCCTGGATTTTCAGGTTGCCTAAGTAACATTTCAGGAAGGCAGTCTGGCATGACCTGCCTCTCAGTTTCTGATTACAAAATGTAACGCCTGGAGAATACCCTTTCCCTTGGAGGGAAAAAATAAAAGGCTGCTTGATTTCCTAAACTATTATGATTATTTGTGTAGGTGTGCCTTATAGTATTGAAAAGTGGGGATCATCATAAAAATGGGGGAAGAGTAAAATGTGGAAGTGTTTTAATAATTTTTTTCAACTAGATATCAGGGGAGATATGGTGTTAACCACCCTTCCAGTAGGTACAGTTTTAATAGGACAGAAATTCTTGGCTTGGGTTGTCATATTTTTTTAAAAAAATTGTTTTTTTAAATCTTCCCAGTCCTTTTCCTTTCATTCATCCTCATTCTCTAACACTTTTTATTTTTTTGGGGGGGGGGGGGGTACAGGAGATTGAACTCAGGGGCACTCAACCACTGAGCCACATCCCCAGCCCTATTTTGTATTTTATTTAGAGACAGGGTCTCACTGAGTTGCTTAGCGCCTTGCTTTTTCTGAAGCTAGCTTTGAACTCTTTATCCTCCTGCCTCAGCCTCCTGAGCTGCTGGGATGACAGGCCTGTGCCAACGCACCTGGCTCTTCTAAGGAATGTTTTACTCTTGTCCCTGGGTGCCTTTTCTGTCAGGCTTTCTGTTTGAAACAGACAGTAGGGTTTTATCCACCTTCTCATTTCTTCTCATTTCTTCTTCTCTCCCATTTCTTTTACCAGAGCTCCCTTTCCTATGGTAATTGTAATGAAAAAAGGGAGGGTGGGATTGGGGGGCACATAGTTCTCTAGTGGAGCTTTGCCTGTGATCGTTATGGGTATGCTTCCATGAAGTTGGAACTTCAGAGCGGAAGATTCAATATAATCTCCCAACTCTTAAACCTTAAGCACAACCAGAGAAACAAACCAGTCTAGAGCACTGGACTGGTGCCTTCCTACCTTGGCTTTCTGAGCTAGGAACATAGGAGAAGCCAACAGATCTGCTTATTTTATTTGTTTGGTCATTTTAATCACTTTTGTTTCAAAATATTATTGAGAATGCGTTGAAGAGTTGAAATAAGGTAAAAGATGCTTCAAAAATAAAGACTTGTTGAACATGACTAAAATGACCCTTTGTTTCACATGGAGGAAAAAACTACAAAAGATTCTTAGATTTATATTTATATAAAATGCAATATTACATATGCCAACATAAAGAATATGTCCTTTTAAAATCTCATCTGTTCCCTACTATTCACTGTTTGTTAATTAGCAACTAGAGTCTTCTAAAGGGTGATGCGACCATAAAACACAAATGAGCCGTAGAAGTGATCAAATGTCAGGCTTCTGTTGGAAAAGTCATACGCAAATTTTATTTGGTCCGTTCTTTCACCTGAAAATTGAAACTACATTTAGAAGGCCCTTTTGTGCCTCTCATTCAAATATTTTGTAAGCTTTCTCAGAAGCTTAAATTGTAGACTATGAAGGATCGATCATTCCTAGATAATGGTAGATGATTGTTAAAGAAACATTAAAGGAATTATTATTATCCTACTTATTTTAGCTAAGAACAAAGTCTAATACTTTG